AAGTACGATTAACAGCATTTGGAGACGTGGCCAGTAAACGTCCTTTGTACTTATAGCGACAATAACAGCTCACTCATAACGTCTAAGCAGAGAAGAATACATTCCATGACATTTGACTTGATCACTTCAAGACAAACATGGAATTTAGCTGATGGAGGCAAAAATGCAGTTTCAAAATAATCGCAGAAACTCAATGCTGTTTCGGGACTGAACAATGTAGCTGACAAGCTTCAAAATGTGCTCAGCAAAATTAAAGCAGGAAGAAGGCAAATAAAGCTTTGGCGATTCATAGTCTGAGAAATGTGATTTTCAGTCGCATACTATCATATAAGAAGTTTGTTGTGAGAGAGTCTTAGCACTTACCATCGCTGTGCTCTCATTCCTTCGCACATTGATCAGATTCATTGCTCCTGTAAAGACAAAATGTGGATTTGCTGAAAGATACATCTTGATCAATAATCTGTTTCCAAGTTTGTCAATCATTTGGTTAAGCGGTTATGTTGCTCCTTAGTTTCTTTCATTTCTAAATTTTAACTCAGTAACATATACAAATACGCTGTTTTGTAGATAGGCATCAGGACACCATTAGTAAAGTAGAGCAAACTGTACAAGATTGCCTTTGTACGTTGCAATAGCTTTGATAATCTCACTTAATCAAAGACGAAAAAGGTTCAGATGCTAAAAAAAATTGAGGGAACAATTTCTATCGCTGTCCAGTAATATCCTACAAACCTTTAACTGGCCCACGTATATACACTGACTTGTCAGACATCAAACAACACATACAACATTGCTGAATTAATTCCTTGACTACATATCAAGAAAACGAGAATTTCTAGGTTTTTCACAAAATGATGCTGTGCTGTTTCCATATACTATACCCTACTTTCCTATTCATAAACCGCACCTTATATAAGCCGCACCTGCCGCAGCGAACAATGAACAAGAACGGGGTGCAGGCTATACATCACTGCCCTTAATTGCATGCTATTACAGTCCACTAATGAAAGCTTTTGAGATTTGTCTTGATCTCTTAGGAAAGTTTCTATAAAATATTTGTCAGAAAAAAGAAGCTGTGCATTCAGTACTCTAGAATGATCAAGCAAATTTATGGCATAATTTGAGGCAAGATATGAGGCCGAAAGTAATAGAAAGAAAGGATTCTTGAAGTTTGAAACATATTATTCATCAAAAAAGCTGGCTCACATAAAATCATTTCATGAATGATTCCGGTCTGATACATTGTATAGCATCGTTGACCACATAAAATTAGTATGAAGTATTTTCTTTGTACCACGCTTGTGATGAGATACTATAGCTTACGATGACGTTCAAAGCACAAAAAACTTTCCAACCGCTTCACTCACAGTTCGCTGTTAATGAATGTTGAGACTCTTTTTCTTATATCAAATGCACCTGCCTGTTCGATCAACAAAGCATTTATAGCTTCAAAATATGTAAAGAACATGCCTTAGAGGAATGAGATGTAAGCGAAAGCCACATTCACATACGATGATTAACCTTCCATTTCAGGTCGGCTGCATTAATTGCCAATTCTATTTACTTCTGCTCCTTTCATCTAAAATTCGAGAGACTTCAATGAGGTCTAACAGTGAACTCGAGTATAATGAAAATTTGCTTTTGTCGTTGCTGAAAATGTATTGTAAATTTGCTATATACGAACAAATGATTAACATCCACTGCGCGTAAGCAATATTTTTGTTAACCAAGATGTGTTTTTGTCTTATTTCAAATTATACTTTTCATGCGTCAAGACCACGGATCTCCCTCATAGAGGGATCACAGCCGGTTAGTCGCGAGGCTACGTGGGGCGTTCCCAGGTGGCGGATAGGGGGATAATCGTCGACCAAAAGCGACCCCGCGCCTGCTCTGATAAGCAAGAGGAGCCGGGGGACGGACTCCCTGCCTCCACTAAAAGCTTGCGCCCTAATTTCCCGGGTAGTGTGTGGGGAGGCGAGTTCGGAGTCGCCTCCAACAAATAAGCTCCGATCGTCCCTCGCGGGGGTTTTGAGCCCAACAAGCTATCCCTGCGAGTAAATTCTTGTTCGACACAGTGATAATATGGAAAGCTCCTTTAATCTTGGAAGAGCCAGTGGTAAGGCAGCGCCAGTGGGGACAAGGTTTGAAAGGCGATCTAGGCTGCCGAAAACGAGACGGACTATGATGACGATCTGTACTTACAACGCGAGGACGCTGGCATCGGACGCATCTATCGAAGACCTCAGATGCAAGCAAGGAAGATCAAGTACGACGTCATCGGACTGAACGAGACAAGGAGGCACCACTCGCTGAACGCCACATTTGAGACTGGAGAAGAACTGTTTCTAGGAACATGCGACAGTCGAGGAGTAGGTGGAGTGGGAGTCCTTGTCAACACGAGTTTGGCCATGAACATCGATTCGTTCGAACAACTTACAACTCGAATCGGACGTTTGCGAATATAAGATGTGGATCAATCCCTGCCTTGACCGTCTTCATTGCGTACGCCCCAACATCCAGCTACGACGAGGACGAACTCGGGGAATTTTATATGGACTTGGAGAAGTTCTACAGAGAAGATCATACCTTCTACAAGATCATCGTCGGTGATTTCAACGCGAAGATCGGAACTAGAAGGTCGACTGAGGAACTTCACATCGGAACCCATGGTTTGCAGTGGAACGAACAAGGGGAGAGACTGTCCGAGTTTATCATGACGACGAGGACTGTCCATGGAAACTCACAGTTCCAAAAGCCCTCTTCCCTACGCTGAACCTGGGAATCGCCCGGTGGAGAGTACCATAACGAGATTGACCACATCATCGTCAACAGAAGGTACTGCCTGACGGACGTCGCTGTTGTTCCGAAGTTCTATACGGGATCATACCATCGTCTCCTGCGCGCCAAATTCTACTTTTCGCGGAATGGAGAGAGAGCCGTCAAGTTCAGGAAACATCGTCCCATGAATACCACCAACTGGGATCTGTTTTCTTCGATATCCGGCTCATGGCGAGATACCGTGATGGACAACATCGACGAAGAATACGAACGGTTTGTACAACATCTCCACGGTTGTGCCAAGGAAGCTCAGAGTCTAAGAAGTACGAGAAGGCGTCTCACCGCGGGGACTTTGGAGCTGATACGCCAACGTGGACGCGCACGAGCCACAGGCAACTACCGACTGACGTCCGAGCTTGCGAAGCGATGCAGAGAAGCGATAAAAGAAGACCTCAAGGAAAGAAGAGTAGCAGTGATGGTTGACGCCGCGGAGGCTGGAAGAAGTATACGTAACGCCCGCCGAAGCTTCGTCAACTTCAAGACAAAGATGACCGCACTTCATCGTCCTGACGGAACCATAACTGCTTCCCGAAGATCAATGGAGAAGGTCATCCACGACTTCTACTCGGATCTTTTTGCGAGCCACGTCCACCTTCCACCATGCCATCTCATGGAGGACGAGTATGTCGCACCGTCTGTTCTTCCTTCCGAGATTCGTCATGCTATCATGTCGATGAAAAACGTACAGCACCCGGTCCCGACAGGATTAAGCCAGAACAGCTGAAGAATCTTTCGCAGTTCTCATCAAGACTTTGGCAAGGCTCTTCACGCGGTACCTGACGGAAGGCAAGGTTCCAAGGCAATGGAAGACCAGCAAAACCGTGTTGCTGTACAAGAAGGGAGATCCCTGCGACATCGGCAATTATCGCCCTATCTGCTTGTTGTCTGTAGTCTACAAACTCTTTACGCGAGTCATTCTCAACAGGATCGGAAGAGAGTTGGACGAAGGACAACCATGCGAGCAAGCTGGGTTTCGAAGAGGATTCAGCACGATCGACCACATTCACACGGTCAAGGCTCGTTGAAGTGTCACGAGAGTATAAGATGCCGCTCTGTCTCACCTTCATCGACTTGAAGAAGGCCTTTGACTCGGTTAAGACTGAAGCCGTCATCGATGCCTTGAGCAATCAAGGTATTCCGACTCATTACATCAAGATAATTCGTGAGCTGTATAACGACTTCACAACCACCATAACACCATTCTACAAGGACATCATCACTGACGTGAAGAGAGGCGTGCGACAAGGCGATACTATATCGCCGAAACTATTCAGTGCCGCTCTGGAGAACGTCATGCGTAAGTTGGAATGGGACAACATGGGAGTGAAAGTCGACGGCCGGCAGCTACACCACCTTCGCTTTGCTGATGACATCGCATTGATAACACCAAGCATCACGCAGGCGGAACAAATGCTGGCCCAGTTTGACGAAGTGTGTGGAAAGATCGGTCTACGGCTGAATTTAACGAAGACGATGTTCATGAGGAACGGAAGAGTGCCTGATGCTCCTTTCATGCTCAACGAACATCACCGAATGCTCAAGCTACACCTACCTAGGTCGTGAACTCAATATGATGAACGATCTAGCTCCGGAACTGAGCAGGAGGAAACGTGCAGCATGGGGAGCATATAAGACAATTGAGGAAGACAATTGAGTGAAGAAGACCAAGAACATCCGGCTCCGCGCCCACCTTTTCAACTCGACGGTTCTTCCTGCTTTGACGTACGCTTCAGAAACATGGACAATGAGAAAGCAGGATGAACACGCGGTTAGCGTCATCGAACGAGCTGTTGAGAGAGTGATGCTAGGAGTGAATCGACTCACGCAAGTGAGGCAAGGATTACGAAGTTCTACCCTACGTCAACGATCGAAGATCAGGGACGCTGCCGCGTACGCCAAGCAGAACAAGATAAGATGGGCCGGGCACGTAATGCGTTTCGACGACAACCGGTGGACGAAAGCTGTAACAGATTGGATACCACTGGACGTCAAACGCGAACGAGGAAGACCGCCGACGCGATGGTCAGATATGTTCACGAAGTCCTTTAATGAAGTCCTTCAGAGCGTTCCACGTGTTCCTGGTGCGATACGTAAACATTGGTCAACAATCGCCCGAGACAGGGACGAATGGAGGCATCACTGGTACCCGCTCGTGCAACACGATGATCAACGGGGATACAGGTGATACAGGTGACAGGTGCGTCAAGAACCTAATAGTTTGAAGGATTGAGAGCGCGGCGTTAAAACTTTAGTACTTTCCCACAATAAACGTTTTCCCTTTTCAATATGCGATTGGAAATCGCATTTGCATCCCAGCCTTTTGAATTCATATCTGATTCCATCCTCCATTCCTGTTGCTTCAAACACCATCCAAAGCTCATCAACTAAAGCGGTACGGATGAGTGTTTTATCTTGGAGCAGCATAAAGTTATCATAAAGTATCTGTGTCACAGACTGCTCTTTTACCTCATGCAAAATCTAAGTTTTTTTTCTGTAGATATCAATTTTGAAGTCATGAAATGTCCCATTTCCTGAGACGTGCGATTGAGCGTTGGTGTGACTAAAAATACAAAGCATGTGCGTTGACTTTTTTTTCCAGATGCTGACGATCATCCTTCTGGCACTCTTTGTGACTTCGGAGGTGAATTTTCCTGACTACTTCAAGCTTCTCCAAGATCCTTCAATCCAGATTTCAATTATCAGGCACCGGCTAGTACAATTCTCTACACGACTTATCCTTATCTTCCGGGTTTGAAAAAACTATTCATCACTATAACAAGAAATAAGGCAAATACGCTTTTTATTTGCTTGACCAAATAATCCCCCTCTATTTAGCTTAAAGAACAACTGCAGCGTCAAAATCTCCCTTTCATCAGAAAAATGTTCAAGTTTATACCCAAAAATGACAAAGGTCAACTAGCGATGCTCATTTGGGTGTCGGAAGTGCCAGAGTGTGATTTGGTATGCTACTTTCCTTTCCTGATAATTATTGTCTTCACATGTGTGAGTTCAGGTGAAGAAAATGGCGAAGGAGTCAAAGAAATTAGATAACCACGTAAGATATGCAACTGTAAAGTGTAGAGGTGGCTTCACTGTATTCAATTGAAGCTGAAGAATTGTTAGTTGGAATGTTCAGGAAACCATAAAGGTGTGCGTGAACTGACAATTACACAGAAAAATCATGTCAGATTTGTGCAAATGTAATGAGCGTTTCTTCAGCAAGAATATAAGAAAATGCATGGTGCACTCTTTGATAGAGCAAAGCAGCTCAAAATTTCACAAAGTCCTCTTTGGCGTCAAGAGCAGTAGGAAAGCCTTTATTCAATCTGCATTACAAAACAAAAGCAAAAAAGCAAACTTTCAGGTATTTAGTACAATGAAAAGCAAAAAAAAACACAGTTGATCAAAGAGTGTTATTGAAGTCTTTGACATCATTGGTAGGAAAGCCTCTATTCAATCAATATCACAAAATATAAGCAAAAAAGCAAATTTTCAATTTATTCAATACAATAATAAAGAAAAAAATTAGAGTTGGTAAAATCCTCTGTTACAGAATTGCACCATTTTGCTCTTCAGATGTCCCCCTCCCCTAAGCGAACCAAATCTGTGTCCCACAGCAATTTACAAGTGCAACTGTCGCCGCATAGTTTGAAGGACGCCCTAACACACATATAATTGTAGCACGATATCTATCAATGCGCATGATTATACCGTTTTTGGGTCAAAAGAAAAGGGGAGGTGGTGGTTCTTTTCACATAAGATACAATTTTAGGCGTACTAATCGTCACTTATGTGAATTCTTCGATATATGCTCCAAACCAAATCAGCGCGGCTGGGAACATCGAGTGCCTCAAAGTTTGGATTTCGCTCAGAAAACTTTACAGACCTTCTCACAACTTTGATTTGCTCAGCATGACTCATTACATGCATTCTCTGGAAAATTCGTAAACTGAAAAAATACTAATCGCTAGAAAATGGGGAACACGATTGCGCGCTAGTACATACAAGATTGTATCAAAGCTTTGTAGTAGAAACAAGAAAATTTCACCTGAATCTTATCATAGAGAAACACATTCGGCGCAAATTCGAGAATGGCGTATTGTGTTTTCGGTCTACGATAGTTTCTGAGAAGCAATGTCTATGCAGATCTGAGCTCATGCGCTTTTCGAATGGAACGTGATAGGGATTTCCTTAGTAAGACATTGTTCAAACGGTAACGCGAATGATTTATTCGCGCGAGAAATGCGTCGTCAAACCTTTTGTGCCTGCGCCATGACCGTACGAAATTGACTTCTCACTTTAGCACCTGGCGCCGGGACCACCCTAAGTCAATCGCGAGTTACGGTCACGGTACAGGCGTAAAGTGTTCGGGGGTGTAACTTCTTAGTCATGAGCGAACCATTTGCGCTGCCATTTGGGCCGTGCCTTAGCTAGGACCCCACTCATCAGTTTTTAGGCAAGACCATGATTGAAAGACCATGCCCAGATTTGCTACACTGCCTTCAACTTCTGACTTCGAAAAAATTTTAACAACTGCATTTTTGTATATTACAGTGTGTCTAGCCAAGCCAAAGTTCTCACATGTCTCCCATATTTAGAATATTCCGCATAACTACAGCACACTCATGTATACCTTTTGAGTCGTCCCGAAAGAATTTAGTTTTTTATATGGCGTAACGTCCCGCACAGCAAAAATTCTCAAAAGCTTTTGCCCATATTCGATGCAGCTTGTCACCCTCTTTCGATTGGTGGTCTCCTTGTTCCGGCTTAACCAAAGAGCTCTCAGAGAGCAACTAAAACTAAAACTCGTGTTTTTGAGGTCAAATTTAGCTTTTTTTTTAAACTTTCGTATCGAACGCAGAAGAAATTGAAGCTACAAGTGGAGAGCTAACCCACTGAATGAACAATTTTTTACCTTTCCATATAATGCGTGCCAACTACAATTCCTAAGATATTTTCGATGCTATCGAATTCATTGAAAACCTCGTAGAATAACAACCGGCTAGCAACTCGGATATCGTTCGATGCAGCTTTTTCTGCTCTTTCTAAAATGCATTTTTTGTTTCTGATTCGCAAAGTCCTGGCGAATACAGTCATCATAATCAACGTTTCTGAGCAGCCTAAGGATTTACCCAGATTTTTATTTTGAATGCGCGAAAGCTCACTTGCTTTGTTATCAGTGTTAAATTGTGATCCATATCTAGAAGTCTCAAACTCGGAAGAGTCAGTTGGTGTTTGATGAGTTTATGTCTAACGTTCTTAAAAAACGGTGGCTTTGATGAATTATCGACGTAAAGTTATGACGACCTAGCAAAAAGAGACGAGCTTGCTTTTGTGCAGGGTCTGCTCTCTATACAAGTTAGTTGGACTTTTCGCGGGTTGGTGCGAAGATTCAAAAAGTAACTAAATTATGGCAAATCATCAATTGTAGGTTTTGGTTATTTTTTGACAGCTGGAGATCGAAATGCAAGAACACTTTTGAAAGAAGACGGAAATGTACATCGGATGCTGCCAAGAACTCGTAAAGAACTTTGTTCAGCGAGATGGGGCTGGTTTGAAAAAAACTAAGCATTGGTTTGGAGCGACCCAACACTTTATTGTTAGCCGCATTCCTACTGATTACAGGGGACTCAAGAGGTTATGTACCCGCTTGAAAGAAGTGCAAAAATTACGTTTCCCCTTTTACTTAAAAAATGTCCCTCCCGCTCTCCCCTCTCCCCCCGCTTCCTTCCCCCCGAACGGACATCCTGCGGCCGCCACCGCTGGGCACATGATCGCAAATGGAACTATTTTGTTGAATACGACACAACTCAGCGGCATAGATGGGTGCCTCCTCATGCAAAGCATGCATGCTAATGCAGGTCGTTCGCTAAATATGGTAGCGGAGTATGGTTAGAAGATGCTCAGCTGCTTGCTGCAGCAGCTTGGGCAGTAGTTGGGTTGCTTAGTCGTTTACAAATGCAATCTTCATGTGTTCAGACTCCTCTGGACCTTTACTTGAGGTGGGCCAAGGCGAACAACCTCATTCTGGTTCGCGCAATTCTACATAGTCGCTGATATGTCAGATAAATTTGAATATAACACTCACAAAATACTAATGCATCCTTTGCAAGGCTTCCGTAGATTAAGAGGATGCTCTGTGCTTTGAATCTCGATTTTAAGAAATCCCGAATTTCGAAATTTCATAAATCTCAAAGTTGAGTTATAACAATGAATTATATTCAGTTGATGACTAAGCTCACGTGAAATACGAGGCTTCTTATCCATAATAGGTGTTCCATTCAAGTCACTGCGAGACAGGACAAAGCAGCCACCCTAGTAAGGATCCAAAAGATTCATTCTAGTAAACAGAATAAAACTTACTTTGAGTCTTTTGAAATAAACCTGGTGAAGTTAGGCACAACCCTTCATAAAGTCAAGCTGCCTGATCATTTTGAGGGTTGTTCCTGGACCATTAACTTGCCTTTAGAATTCACGAACTTCCCGATTATTACTGTGGATAGTAGCAAATCCCGTTTTTGCTGCAGTGATAATTTGATCTCAAGATCTCCTTTTCTATGGTCATGGTCTCTTAAATATCATACCAGGGATATCTGTTCCCCTGTTATATGCCGTTTGTACCTTTGTACCATATAATCGAATTGCACTCGCAAGGTCGTGCACTTGGACTCCAAAAAGATAAAAAAAATTTTATGCAGACTTTTTATCCTTCACTCTTCTGTTCTTTATTTCTATCCTGAAGGTCACATTATGAGGTTGAAGGTAAAAGATGGGAATCGTTTAAATGGGTGTGTAAGAAAGGGGAGATTTCTTTTGAACGACGTGTGCTTGACCTCAAGCTCGACACTAATGCTGACTGTCCCTATAATTTGGGATCCAAGATAAGAGCATTTATTAGGTTGATGCATAATTCTTGCACCAAAATAGGTACAGACCGCGATAATCCGGAATAATCCTACATCTCATATAGAATTCGATAAATCATTAGATAGCGCAAACCAAGCTCTACAAGATAGTGCTCGAATATCTGCACCAGCTTTGATCCACGCGAAGCTTTGAGCCGAAAACTGAAAAAAGCCATGCGTTCAAAAACCTTAAGATCTGTCATGAATCCCCAATTCATGATTTGTTACAATGTCGATGTGCGCTCTCACAGTGACGGGAAATGTTTAACATTATGTTTTGAGAACAGCAATAGCTCTTAAGAGGAGCCGAGGGAAACGGGGGGGCAAGTAAGATGGGCAAGCTGCCTCGTCCCTGACAGGCGAGGAACCTGGCAAATGGCAAATTACACTAGGTAAGGCAAATCAAAATTATAGAAATACATGTCTTTGTCATTGTGCAAGTTGTAAATAAATATTTTACTTGTGGATCGTATTTCATTTAAAGAAATCGTACTGGAATAGTACGAACATGGTGCATCGGCCAAACTCGAAAATAGGCCGGACGGTCAGCTATAGCGTGACAGAAATCGGCAAGGTAAAGCAACGTAATTGGAAATATAGTGCGAAATGCTTTGGAAGGGCCCTCCGGAGCACAAAACCTTTCCTTACACCGTGCCTACCTTGCAAGAAAACCAAAGGAAAGTAGAAGCGCTTCAAAAAATGTTTAACGCAGCTGCCTCAATGAAAAGTACCGGAAAGGTACAAAGTTTAAAATGAAGAGCACCGGAAAAGTACAAAGTTCTAAACGACGAGTACCGAAAAGTTACAGCGACGAGTACCGGAAGGGTACAAAAGTACCGGAAGGGTACAACATTGCAAAATAAGCATTGTCAAAAAAAAATAATTGGAATTTCACATTAGAATCTCAAAACAAATATAATTCTCAAAACAAAAGTGTCTCGCAAAAGATTTATTGATATGCAAAGTACAAACATTGAGGGTATCTCACAAGATGAAAAATAGATAAGCACACGAGAAACACAACAAAAACAAGAGACAGTACAAAAGGAAGTCAAGCCGACGAGACTCCAGTTGAGAATTTTCTTTATTTGAGACCACCTCGATTGACGATTGACGATTCGACGTAATGTCCATTACAGCTTTCAACCTAAAAGAGCAAAGCAAAGACTAACTCTACAACTCAATGAATTGGGAAAAATGCTACAAGAAGCTGAAGAATTGCTCAACCATGGCAATTTCCCCCATTAATGCAAGACTTGGAAAACTTTTTGGCAACAAAACCGATCATAGTAAAAGCAT